AAAAATCCTTGAAAAAAATCATATCTTTTATAAAATATCAAAATCTTCCTTCTCATCTGTTCGGATTCCGTTCCCAACACTCGCCAGTCCAACAAGGACTTCGAGTGGTCGATCATATTTCCGCAGCCCTGGAAAGCAAGCAATATTGCTCGGGTGCATTTATGGACATAGCTCAAGCTTTTGACCAGGTATGGCACGCCGGGCTTCTTTTCTAACTTAAAACCCATCTTCCTCAGTACTTAAACCTTGTCCTCCGTTCCTACCTCTCAGATCGTACCTCCCGAGTTAGCTGCGGTACTGAATTTTCGAATTGCTATCCAATTGAGAGAGATGTTCCTCAAGGGGTATTGGGTCCCGTCCTATTTACCGCCGATATCCTTGTCCATCCCGATAACTTCCTGGCAATTTTTGCTGATGACACCGCCATTCTATCATCCGACTCAGATCCTAATATAGCATCCTTAAACCTTCAAAGACACCTCTCCGTGATTGAGCACTGGTGTAATAAATGGCGTATTAAAGTAAACGAATCCAAATGCCAACACATCACCTTCACGCTCTGATGCAGTTCCTGTCCACTAGTACACTTTAATTCCATCTAGCTTCCATTCTCAGACACAGCCCGGTACCTCGGTACCTTGGCTTTCTCTTAGACAGACGACTAACGTGGAACCATTATATTAAACTTAAAATACAGGAACTTAACCGACTATACGCCACCTATACCAACTACTAAACAGAAAACCTAAACTTTCTATTGAAAACAAGTTACTTATCTACAAGACAATACTGAAACCTATCTGGACTTACGGACTTGAACTGTGGGGAACAGCAAAATTTTCTATCATCAAATGCATCCAATCCTTCCAATCTAAAGTCTAAATCTATATTGGAAACCACGTATTACAAAATTGTTGTTCAGTAGACCAAAAACTCTTCAAGATAAAGCATTTGATGGTTAATGATGTATACATTTATCTACTTTTAAGGAAATCCATGAATAGCCCAGATATAGTTATTGAGTTTGTTAAGCCTGTGTGTTTCACGATTAATTCATGAACGGATAATTTTTTTTTTCTTAGCCCCGTTTTTATTTATCTTTGTCTTGTATTCCTGGATTTTCGTTGTCTTCATAATAGTCCTTTTACTGCTAAAAAGCATTGTAAGGTGTATTTTGGAATCCCTTTCTAATATACATAAGCCCTTATTACCACGAGGAGGAGACTTGGAAGGTTTCTTTTCTTAATTTTTCAATTATATCTTCGTGATATGCGTCATAACGATTTATTTGGGGAGAGAGAAGAGATTTTATTTACATTTCTCAATTCTACTTTTTACAGATTTTAAATTCCATAAACTTATTACATTTCAATATAATATTTCATCAAAATGAGACAGGAATTAGGCCAGGTTAAAACAAATCTCTCTGTATTTACTGTTAAGTGGGAGAAAACACTCGAATGATTAAGAACATCCCTATTAGTTCCTAAAATAAGAAAGGTCATTTGCACCTGCTAAAGTAACTTTAGATATTTTTACTTTCACGTATATGAATTTTACTAAGAGAAAGCGAGGCAATGGACAAAACTTGAAAAAATTGGCGGATTTCGACGTTAGCTAGATTTCGACAACGGATTGAAAAATACATCGAACCGAACAGTTCATTTACTAATTAAAGCCGAAATTCAAGATTCATTTCGACATTCGGAACAATACTGTATTTGGAAAAGAATATATCTGAGCTTGATCCTTTGTCCTAACTAGACAGTCAAGAGGGGGCTCGATGCTGATGAAATCGGACGACTGATTTTTTTTTTTTTACCAGAAATTCTTTATTGGGATATATTACAATTTCTCAAACCTAAGGACAATAGTAATAGTCATATAAGAGTAGCTCATTCCCACTATGTACAATAAATAAAAATAAATTAACAGCAAAATAATAGTACTAAAAGTAAATGTGTATAAAATAAAAGAAACTAAACTAAACAAAACAAATCAAAATAACTACTTAAAACATATAATAAATTTATACACTAAATACAAACTTCATTCACTCAGAATCTCTGAACCAAGTCTTTTCTCCCACTATTGGGAGGAAAGGCTCGACTCTGGAGGATTCCAGCGCCTCTTACGCAGCCGCATTGCTGGTAGTAAGGATCTAATTAAAAAATTAAAAATAAGTAATGTAGCTGGGTGCATGTAATGTGCTGAACAGACAATACACTCACACTAAAGACGAGGGAACGCTTGCATTGGCTTATTTAGATATCTCGTTGTTTACATCATCTCGTGTTTTTAATCGCGCTATTCAGCGTCCGGCCTCTTATTATATTAATGGCGCGCCTTAAATTTTATCGTTACTTCTTTTCTAACAAAAAAAAAAAATCTTATTACTATCTGAATATAGTGTGATATATTTTGCTTGGAGAAGTAATTTAAAAAAATAGTGATGTAAAATAAAGCAAATGGCCAATGTTTAAAAAAAAATGTTTTTCAAGAAAAAAAAAAAACAGAAGCAACAGATTGAACATGCGGCTGGAGACAAACTGATATGATGCCAACGAGTTTAGGCGACGACGTGATTTAAACGACGAGATATATAAATAAGCCAAAGCAAGCGTTCTTCCGTCTTTAGTGTGAGTGGATTGTCTGTTCAGCACATTACATGCAGCCAGCTCCATTACTTATTTTTAGTATTTTAGTTAGGTCCTTAATACCAGTAATGTGGCTGCATGACGGGCAATGGCATCTTCTAGAGTCCAGTCTTTCCTTCCTTTTTGCTTTTTTCAAAGCACTTTCAACCACAAATTTTCGCTAAAAATAATAATAAAAAAAAAAATCAGTCGTCCGATTTCGTCAGGAACCAGCCTCCTTTTGACTGTTTAGTTAGGACATAGGATCAAGCTAAGATATATTCTTTTCCAAATACAACATTGTTCCGAATTTCGAAATGAATCTTGAATTTAGGGTTTTTGTGTAACCATAACACATACCCAGTGCCGTTCTGCCACTGCTGCTGTTAAACAAATATGCCGAGCCTGTCTTAATGCACAAGCAAATCACTTTGAACAACATTTAATATGAATGTTAGTGTTTACATTTAATTAATTAAGTAGTTAGAACAAATAAATAGATTTTATTTATTTCATATAACGTAAAAAATTCATAACAACGAAAATCTTTATGTGTGAATATCTCCTAAACAAAGCGTTTGCGGACATACCTTCAGAGGAAATTTTTTTCTTGTTTCGAGATCCTTAATTCATTTTTGCAGTTTGGATACTTAACCCTGAAACACCCCCTATATAACCCAACCTTCTTTTTTTTTAAAGTTGTATATTTTTTGTCATTCAATCAATGGAATAGATATCGATTAAACACTATTTCGATTTAAATATGTTAAGATAATACCTCAACTATGTCATACAGAGGTATATTAAACAGTAATTTATTTAATTAGTCTGTCCCAAATTTTAAATTAATATTTTTAATGCCATACTTTGTTTTTACCATTTAGGCATTCATTGGATCAATAAAAAAAAAATTGGGAGGGTATTTTCTCCTATTTTTCAAACAATTTAATTTGAAGATGTTTTACTGATGTTATATATTTTAATTTTTGAGCTATAAATTTTCATGGGGCTATACATGTTCGAAGAGATTTAAATATGGGCTATGGAAAGAAGTTTTATCTTCAATTGGATAATTATATTCCTACCATAAGTCCGGTCGAGTGACGCTGATTTGGAAGAAGAAATTATTAATCCATTACTACATAAATAAATTTCATCAACTATAAAAGTAAGTAGTCGAATGAAATCAATCGATGTATTTAATACGTTTGTGGTGGGGACAGATTATCAGTGTTGCCGTTGGTATGAGCATCCTTGTATTTGTATGAGGTTATCACGTATTAAAAGAGGTACGAGAATCGACCAACCTCATCCCGCTTACATTATTTTTGCTAGTTTTACAATTATTTTTACTATGTTATTATTTATTTATATTAATATGTAATGCTTAAATTTAGTTGTTTTATAGACAAATAAATTGCAATCATATCTGCTTTCTATGGAGTATGACTGCTATTTCCTACTTAAAACTGTAAATACATATCTTTATGTGGTTTATTGTTTTCAATAATCAACCTTCGTAATCGATCAAGAAAAAAAAAGTTAATCCCCCTCCAAATCTGACCTTTCACGTTTCAAGATATGTAGAATCCAAAATAATCATGAATTAAAATATAATCCGAGTAGAAGTAGAATGAAATAATAATGAAGAATAAAAGTCGAATGGAATAAACATAATCCGTCCGTCCGTCCGTTGTATTTTTAATTTTCTAGATTAATAAAAATATTGTTACTGTCTGTTTTAAAAATGATTTAAATATTTATTAATTTCAATGATATTTTACCTGGTTGAGAAGTTCCATTTATAACAATGATAGCAATATTGAGTGCTTAGTTAATTTGCTATTTTAATCATATTTGTACTCAATTTGTTATGCCAGACTAATTAAAATAATCTTAATATGTACTCATATACCTTGGACAACTTCTTTTATGTTATCTATTTTCAAACTTATTTAATCCCTACTTATAGGAAATGTCATTTAGATATCCGATTCAAGACATGTTTAAGACATCTTGTTTAAGAGATCTTTAAGACATCTTTTAGCTATCTATAAAAAAGTCATGTAGAAATGGTCATCTTTTAGATATATTTTTTTATGTATCTTAAAGATAACTATCTTTTAAATGTCTTTCAGATATTCATACTGTTTAGACAGTTACTAAGAGGCTATGTCATGCTTCATTCAATTTGTATTTAAATATCAAATATACAAATTTAATTTACACTTTTAAGTACAAAATCCTTGCCTGATATATCCATCACCTTTAGAAAATTAAGGACTGTTTGGGTTCCTTAAAAGGAGTTCCTTGGAGCTGAATAAAAGGAGAACAATATAAAGAGTAAGAAGGAGGCCGGAGTAAATGGATACCTTAGTTTATAGACTGGGACTAGGATCCTGTCGCGGTTTCATCGATGACTTCTCTCCATCATCCGGCCATAGCTCCAGACCTCATTCCTACCGGCTAGGTATATACCACTTATGCTCTAAGTGGAGTCATGTTCTCCCTTTCTATTTTATACATTTTTCAATACTTCATCTCTCTTGTGGGATACTCAGATATTAAAAAACAAAAAATATGGAAATATAGTATATTTTTTTTACAATTGTAGATGGAATTTGAATAAAATTTATTGTCATTGTTCATTGTACAGGCTTTACTAAGAAAATGGAGAAAGAAATCATGAAAAACTAGCAAATAATATCTTGGTTATTATCTTCACCAACAGTATCATGTATATCATCAACAGTGACTAATGCTGTACGGTATATGGGGACGTCTCTGGGGATCTCGAGGCGAAATTAAAACGTTTGATAAATTGCTTTGTACAATTCATCTTCGGGATCCCAAGGGACGCCTCTGTTTCACGTTTTTATGCAGAGTTGAAGTGGCTTTATCCTTCCCACCGTCCCCCAAGTATTCCTTGGCATCCTCCCTCTTTCAAGTCATCCAATCCCACCGTCCTTCATACATCTCCGAGCTCCTTCAATTCAAATCCTCCGTTCGTTCCCGCAATACTCGTTCCCGGTCTTCTGATTTATACATAAGGGCCCACCGAACCGCTGCTTTCGACAGATCGTTCATTATCCGATTCTCATCCCTATGGAACTCCATCCCTCCCCACATCCGTCAATCCAAAACCCTTCCAACCTTTAAATCCCGCCTGTTCAATAATTTCTTATCCATTCAGTCTCCATAAAATTGTAAATAGTGACTACTGTAAATATGTATGTAAATTATTAGATCTTTCTTCATTTTTATTTCATGTTTATTTTAATTTTTTTATTTTTTATTGTTAACTGATTTGAATTAGTAAGTAACTTATAATTTATTGTATTATTTTTTTTATTTTGACTATTTAATTACTCTATATTTTTCTTTATGTATCTCTAAGGCTCCTTAGCCCACATTTTTGTCTTTCTGTATTATTCTATAGAGACTCGTCCCAGAATAAATAAAGCATTGTTATTATTATTGTCATTAATTTATGGATTTTATGATTTTAGATACTGTTTCAAACAATGTGGACAAAGTAATAGATAAAGTAATATGATGGATGTTGTAAAACCTTGATTACAAAACAGGGATAGGATACTCGAAAGTCGACTAAAATAAAATAATATAATAGTTGCCCCTATAGTCTGAGTAAATATTTTGATATGTATTTAAATAAATTAATTATGTTTAAATAGTATCTTAAGCAATGACATTGCCTTGAATCCTTGGATTTTAAATACTTTTTCAAACTGAAAAAAAAAGTTAAAAGTCAACATTTAGTAAGAAAATTTCATTTAATTTCCTTGAAAACATGTGATTTACGTTAAATTATGTTTAGAAATTATTATTCAAATTTTTTTCGTCACTCTCCGTTACTTTCTACAATTTTCTAAATTAGATATATTTTTTTTTAATTCTCCGCTTTCCAACGATATATTATATGTATACTCTGACTAGTATTTCCGGAGATTAATTTTCGACCTGGATAAGAATTTTTATTTTTATCTCTTTTATTCAATTATCAAATTCTTTCAAAAGTTATATTTAGCATTTTTTCGTAACTTTTAATAATAAGAGATAGTTGGTTATTTAAAATAAACCATATTAAAGGTACTTTAGAGGAAGACTCATATAACATTGAGCATTTTTATTTATTTGTTTATTTAAATCTCTGCCCTGCCAGTTTGGCAATACGAGTGTTTGCAGTATTGGATAGCTACACGTGTGTGCATAACTAGCCAATACTGCAATCGATACAATAAGATTTTCTGTTTAGCTTGGCTCTTCCATCCTCTGTGGTGGAGCTTCTTCTCTTCTACCCAAATAGAAGTGGGCTGGGCCGATGATGTCTTTCAACGCGTACACAAAGGCCTTGTAGTGCGGGTAGTTCTCTCTGGTCACTAGCTGAGGGAGATCGCTCTCTGATAAGACATAGAGCCCAGTCTCCGTCAGCAACTTAGCCCTCAATGCCTCATAGGCGGTACAAGCTAATAAGACGTGCTCGGCGGTCTCCGGTACCCTACAACTTGGGCATAGGGGATCAATGTTCTTACCATGTTGAACAAGCTTTGCTCGGAATCCCCCATGCCCCGTGAGGAATTGCGAGACCCAATAGTCCGGGAGGAGCCATGTAGTTTCCATTCTTGAACCGACGGTGGGGAAGTATTTCCTTAGGGTTGATCCTTTTGGCGTTGTCATTCAACGCCGGTTCCATTCTTCTAATGTGCATTCCCGGAGAATCCCCTTCATCTGCTTGGGTCTTCACTGATCCTCACTCGGAGATTAGCCGGTAGATTCACCAAGCCATCTCTCTTCATTTCGTGCCGAAAGTAGTCTTCACGAAGTTGAAGATCGATTGGAATACTTCCGGCTAAGACTTGTACTGCCTCATGAGATACTGACCGGAACGCCCTAGTGACACGAAGCAGAGCCATACGCTGGATCGTCGCCAACCTTTTCTTCTGTTGGTGCGAGAGAGTCTGACTCCACGCAGGAGACGCATATCTCAGGATACCCAAGATAACTCCGTTATAAATAGCCAAAGTGGCTGGGTATCTGAGACCCCAAAAAGCGCCCCCGATGCGACTCAGTCCATTAAGAGCCAGGGCCACTCTACTTCTCAGATAGTCCAAGTGAGGGGTGAAGTTAAACTTTCTTCCAGTCCTTATCCCAAGATAGGTGACAGCCTCACTTGGACGTATCGTTTCTCTCTGTATATTCAGAGTGATAGGGTCGGCCCTGTCAGTCTTACCCCTCAAAAGAACGGACTGAGTCTTTGAAGCCGCCATCTTCATCTTCTTTCTCTCGCACCATTCTCCTACTTGGTTGGCGCACCGTTCAGCCTCTTCCTTTAATCTGGCTCTGCTGTTCGATGCCACCACGACTGCGAGATCGTCTACGTAAGCAGTGGCGGGGAACCGCTGCTCTTCCAATACTCCCAGCAGCTCGTCAAATACCAGTTTCCACAAGGCTGGACCTAGTACAGATCCTTGTGGGCATCCTCTTTCTACAGAATCCTCTACAGCAAAGAAGTTACCTTTTATCATTAATTTACGGTCTTCTAGATAGCTTCTTAAGAGGTCGTAGTACAGGTTGCTGTGAGCTTCATACTTTTGCAACTGCTGGAGTACGCTCGGCCACCAAACGCTATCGAAGGCGGAGGATATATCAAACAGGAGAAGCATTACATACTTCTCCGCCTTCTCTTCAACGTCACGGCGCACTCTGAGCAGAGCATCTGCGGTTCCCCTACCTTTAGTACATCCGTACTGTCGTGAATGGCTAGCTCTTAAGAAGACTGGTCGTAGACTCCTCATCAGCAAGGTCTCCAACAATTTACTCATTATAGGGAGGAGACATATAGGCCTTTATGACTTCGCTAACTGCTTGGCCTTATCTCCTCCCTTATAAAGGAGTCTAACATCAGCAATCTTCCATATTTTAGGGAAGTAACCCCTGTCTAGGCAATCATTGAGCAATGCTAACAGCCTTTGTTCAATGTAGGGGATACTATTCCTTAGTATTGCTGTGTCTATCGAATCCAAGCCAGGAGCTCGACCAGTCCTTTGCCTATCCACGGCAGCACGGAGATCCCATATGTCCCATGGTGGGCATAGGTCCGTACCTGGTGGGCATACCGTAGTGCGTCTAATGTATCTCTCCTCTTCATTATCTTGGGACGGATCATCCCTGGGGTAGGTTTCCGCAATGAACGTTTTTGCCGTCTCCTCCAGAGTGGTTGCCTGAGTAGTTCCGCGTTTCAATGCGGCTATTACCTGTTGTGGATTTAACTTACCCAAGGCAACTATGTAAGGGATACCCCAGGAGTTCTTGGACGATTCTTCAATAATGAACTCGTCCCAAGACTTCCTTTTTCGAGAGCGCACTTCGTTTCGGTATGCTCTGGACTTGGACCTATACTCGTCGCGAAGTGTGGCGCGCCTCTCCTCACTACCACAATTTTGATAGGACCGCCGGGCCTTGTAGAGCTCTCTGTTCATAGCAGTTAAGGCCGGCGTCCACCATGAGACAGGTCGAGCTCTCACCTTCCGTTGCTGGAGGGATTCCTCAGCGGCGTCACGGATGACATCTGTGATCCTAGAGACCCTATAATCTAGACTATCTGTCTGGTCCGTCTCCGCTTCATCCCATTCTTCATCTACTAATTTTTCCTCCAGCGTTGACCGGAAGGCTTTCCAATTTGCCCAGTTAAATAACCCATGGCGATGCCGTGGGAACTTTCCATATTTTTCACCAGCTTAAAAGCTATCGCTTGGTGGTCGGAACTCATCTCAGATCGGAGGATCCAATCGTTGATGCGACTCGCTAGCACCGGTGATGCCAGTGTTACATCAATCCAGCTCTGCCCTCGAGCGCTAGAAAACGTTGGCAAGGCAGAGGGATCATTCATTACCACTAGCTGCCTTCGGCCAATGAATTCTCCGAGTTTAACGCCTCTTCTATTCGTTTGATTGGATCCCCAGACCGTGTTCCAGGAGTTGGTATCTGAGCAGATGATGATGTTTCTATAGCAAGCCGTGATCATCTCCATGGCGGATATGTCGTTGTCTATATCACCTCCGTCAGGAAGATATGATGAAACCAACGTGAAGGTAATATTACCCCATTTGATATAACATGCGACACAATCCGCCGTGGTAAACTGCCTAAGATCCATCACATCGAGGTTTGGGTTATTTACCACTATAGCTGCCCTGGGCCTCCTCTCTCCACTGCTCAGGGCTATAACCCTCGATGTGAGGCCAAACCCCGTGACCATGTTCCCACGGCAGCTCGGTTTTTGAATCGCCATAACATCATAACGTCCAACAAGAGCCCTAAACTCATCCGCAACGATGCGACGACGGCCCATGTTGAGCTGGAGAATGGTGATATTATTCATAGTAGGTCCTCTTAGCCACCTCATTTGACCATCTTAAGTGTACAGGGCACTCTCGGCTGCCCGCTTTATGCTTCGTTTGGCTTTGCGGTGCACTCGCCCGCACACAGTTAATACAAGTCGGGCCAGTTTGTTCCTTCTTCCTTGGACAGTCCTTGAGTATGTGTCCATTGGCTGCACACCATATGCATACAACGGTATCCACCGTACAGGTAGCCTTCTTATCTTATTCGTTTCATTTTCAGTTTGTAGGCTTTCGGGACCGGTAGACTTTTTAGTCTTTTTCCTATTTCTTTTGCTCTTAACGACTGTAAAAGGAACTGCGGCTGGTAAAGACTCAGGCGGGGTCACGTTAGTCGCGGATGACTTTTCGTTGCTTTTTCCAGGGATGGCGAGGGGAGATTTTATAGCGGTTCCTGAGAGAGATTCTATAACCTTCGTCACTGTTTCCTCTATTACGATGCTGGTTATCATCGAATGTACAGAAGGCGAAGTAATTGTTTTCTGAACAGCTTTATGGACAAGTAAAGATAAGCCCTCACTCTTATCTTTGTCTTATCTTTGTCCTTTCCTCCAACGATTCAATAGCGTCAATGAACCACTGTATTTTGCCATTAATGTGGTTTTGGTCTTTATTTTTAATACTTTTATCAGCTTTAGTAGTATATTCAGAGGTTTTCTTGAATTATCTTTGCTTTTTGAAGAAAGTCATTTGAGATTCCTACCTCAGAAGCTTCTGCGTTATCACCAAGAGAAACCTTTCTCGCCCTTTTTGCGGTTGAACGTGAAACCCTTGGAGGGTCCCCTTCTTCCCTTTCATCTCCCTCCATGTTGTCTATAATACTACTCCTGGACAAGTCTTTAAAGAGTAGACACTTAATAACTTAAATAGTAACAGTAATAATAGTTCTTATCACTTAAACAGGTTATACTTACAATTTTTTTTTTTTTTTTACATAGATTCAGTAAAGTTAATTTCTGTGTGCTCTCTGGGAAGGTCTTTTAGAGATCTTCTACTCAATATAACACTCGGAACTCCAAATTTTTCAAACAAGAACTCCTTCACGAAATTTATACTACTTAACCTTTCCTGTCCAAACTTCAATCTATGTACACTATTTACACTTACAACTAATAATAACAATAAAAAACATGATAAAACACTAGAAAACAATAAGATGGCTATGAACAATTAGAACAAAACGAAAACACAGAACACTGCCTCAAAAGATAGCTCTTTAGTAGATCGCAATTAATCACAGTAACCTCGCTATCTAAAAATCGACCTCAACATTGAGCATTTAAGCTCTGTAAAGTAAGTATAAGTCTTATGATCATGAAGATTTTTAAGTATGAGTTTTCAACGGAAATACAAGTATTGAGGTACTTAGAGTCCAAATAACCAAGTCCCCAAAAATGATCTGTGTCTCGGTGTGTATGTGAACACTCTAGCTCGAAAACGAAAATTCGTACGACCTGATATTATGTGTTTAAGATGGATATATTCCGCTAACAGGAAGTGCCCCTTTTTATCAGCGTTAAAACATATTTTTACAATTTTCTCAAAAACGGCCTGAACGATTTTGATTAAACTCAGTGTATCATTGTATAATTAAGAGGTCTTTAATATCATTTAGGTCTTATCCCCGTTGATGTCACTTTACAGGACTTAAATGCGCAATGTTCATGATCGTCATGCGGCTCAGCCTATCAGTTTTCCAACTTTTGAAAGCTTGAGTGTGAAAGAATCATTTCACGTGTACACATTTCACGTGTACACCAGAGCAGTTGATATTGCTGTGTGATATATTTTTATTTTTATAATTTTTTTTTCCTTTTTTTATTTCTTTCTTTCTTCTCCTATGGTATGCGGTATACTCACCAAGTGATGTCCAGTAAGGTGCCCAAGAGGACTCGGTCGGACGGGGTTAGCTAACCAGCCAAACAAAGGACTCGTCGCTGCCTACGAGAAACATCTCCAACAACAAAAGTGAACACTTCAGAACCAGAACCTCAGCCACAACCAGGAACTTCTTCGCAAGAAATGATCGAAGAATCCCCTTTCTTTACTCCAAACCCCTACCAAGTGCTTCAAAATGACCGGGAGATAATGGAGTCTGCAGCAATTCCCACAGAACCAAGGCCTCCTCCGATATTTGTGAAAAACATCAACAATTTCCAGTTGTTCTGCACCCAACTAAATAAAATCTGCTCTACCAGTTATTCATGCCTTAACAGGACCAATGACACCAAAATAACACCTGATTCTGCTGAAGCCTGCCGAAAAATAGTGAAGTACTTATCAGAAACAAATGCGAATTTTCACACTTACCAGCTGAGGCAGGAAAGAGCGTTACGATTATTGATAAGAAATTTACACTCCTCGACCCCCACTGAAATTATTAAAGAAGAACTAAGTACGCTTGGTTTCAAGGTACGCCATGTAACAAACGTTTTGAAGGAGGACAGGGAGCAGCCAGGATTACGAAATAGGATCCCACTACCATTGTTTTTCGTGGACTTGGAGCCATATCACAAGAATATACTACACAATGGTGAAAGTAGAGAAACCATATTAAAAGAGAGAAATCGTGCAGTGTGATAATTGTCAGGTGTATGGCCACACCAAGATTTATTGTCACCATCTGCCGCGTTGCGTGAAATGCGGTGAATAGCATAAATCTGTGAAATGCACTAAACCGATACAAGATCCTGCAGTGTTTGCACTATGCCTGGATGGACACCCGGCCAACTACAAAGGATGCCAAATTTACAAGAATCTTAAATCCAGACACCAGAAAAACCGGATTGATGATGAAGCAGGAAGACCAAGAAGAGAGAGAGAGCCTTCTAGAATAGTTAACGATAGTGTATCATTTTCCCAGCTACTTATAGGTAAGAACTCAACCGATAACTGTCAAGCCCAGTTGCAACAACAACCTCAACCCCAACCTCAAAATCCTATCGATCCGAATATACCTATCAACAAATTCATCATATCCCTCCTCCTTCAAATGCAACAGATCTCACAAGTTTGTTAGCATCTTTCCTCACCGAGTTCAAATCCCTTGTTACTCCACTCATATCACTCCTCCCAAATCTCGTATCTCACCTCATCCCTCCTTTAAAAAATCCTTAAATGACACACATCCCTAAACCCATATTCATTCTCCTTTGGAATGCGAATGGTGTTAATAATCATACAGACGAACTATCTACTTTACTACTTGACAAGAACATTGATGTGGCACTAATTACTGAAACTCGACTAACCACTAAACAGCACTTCAAAATACCACAATACCTGACATATCGTACTGACCACACTGACGGAAAAGCACATGCCGGCACTGCTGTAATTGTACACCAATCCCTCTCCCATCACCTACTCCCATTACCTATACATGATTTCCTACAGTCCACCGCTATCTTGATAAAAACCTTCTCCTTTCCGATTACTCTTGCATCAGCGTATTGCCCTCCTAACCGATCCATATCCAATGCCCAATTCAGTTCTCTCCTCGACTCCTTAGGACATCACTTTATCTTGGGTGCAGACCTAAATGCCAAGCACCAACAATGGGGTTCCAGAACCACGAATTCTCGTGGACGAACCCTGCTGTCTGCACTCAATTCCCAACGTTCTCATCTCCTTTCTCCCAACTCTCCTACCTACTGGCCCACAGATCCAAACCGTAATCCTGATATTCTTGATTTCATTATCCACAGCGGCTTAAGTCCCCTCAATTGTTCCATTACACGTCTAAATGAACTTTCCTCTGACCATAGTCCTCTAACCCTTAATGTTTCACATGAACCCGTTCCCAAACCTTCTCCACCGTCATTTATTAGGGGCCCAGTTAACTGGGACCTTTTCCGCCAAATCATCTCCGATAAAATTGATCTTAACATATCCCTCAAAACTCCCGATGACCTTGATAGTGTCGTAAATTCCTTTACTACCACAATCCAACAAGCCGCCTGAACTACCTCCTTCCCAAAAGACTCCTCCAGAATTCCTAAAAAGACCATTTAGGATTTTTGTTGTGGTTTTCCAAAGGGAATTGTCGCAAGAAGAGAGGGAGGGTAGGTAGGAGTTGAAGGAATGTGATCTGAAGGTGGCTAATTCCAGTTTTAATTTTTTTCAGTAATAATTATAGGAGCAGCATTCGGTAGGATGTCGGGTACGTTACCACAATAATCTGGCACGGCGTTTGGTGTGGATTAGGTCAAGGAGGTGTTGGGGCATGCAATCCTTCCAGTCAAAAGTCCTTCGAAAAATATTCGATGCTCCTTTCTATATAACCAACAAAACCCTACATCATGACCTCAACATCCCATTTGTCCTAGACCTTATCACAAAAAAATTCTCCAAATTTCACCAGAACCTTACGTACCACCCAAATCCTCTTGCACAATCTATATCCAGCACCACCCATCCCTATAATCCTCCAAGGAGGTTAAAACGGCAGTGGCCCCGCGATCTTTTATAGTTTGTAAATGTTGGAGTTCTGGCAATGGCCAGATTCTCCACTCACGACATGAGTGTATGTGGATAAAGCACTCTTGGTCAATCCCCACTGGGTTTAGCCCTAGTGACGCGGTTGAGAGAGGAGTGCAGAGAACTCCTGGAGTCATACTTTTCCCTCCACAGTTGGTGGGACAAGTCTGGTTCGGAGTTCTCTCACCAAAATTTAAATATTGTATATAGGTGTGTATGTGTTCTTTTATTTATTTTCATTTAGGTTATTTTATTCTTATTTATTGTATATATATTATTTTTCTGTATAATTTATTTTTTTTAGAGTGTGAATGTGATCTGTGAACTCTATTATAAATATCCTAGAGACAGATTGTAATATTTTTCAATAAATAAGTTTTAAAAAAAATTTTGGGAGGAGAGGCTTCAGCCCGAAAGCTTTATTTTTCATATACATAACGGTAATTACTTTGAAAAAAAAATGTACTAACTACCTATATGAAATAGTGTTTAAGTAATTCTTAAGGCCTATTAAATGCAATTACACGAACAATAACACATTAAAAAATTTCAATTTTTTTTTTTACATAAAACATGGTTACCTTTTACAATTTTTTTTTTTTTTTTGGTGGGGGCTTCAGTCCGAAAACCTCCCTCCCCTCCTCCCCGTAGATTCGCCTGTGATTGTGCATACGAATACAACTAATAGTTGTATTCACCTGTAATTGTGCATACGAATACAACTAATAGTTGTGTAGTTTCTTCACAACTAGGAGTATAGTAATAAAACGCTTTTTAAAATTTTACACTGCTGAAAATTATAATCTGTCTTTCTCAACAAATTAATTTTTTTATTTTGATTCAATTCAAATGCAAGTTTCGGTGCGCTTGACTTCTGCAGAAAGAAGTTAAGTTCTGTTCCACGATTTATGTAGTCTCAAAACCCACATTTAATGGATATACTGGATATAAACTCTGTAAAAGTATAAGACACCGTAATTATAATGAAGCCAAGGGTAGCAGACGAT